ACATGGTTACAGTTTTCTTCATTGAGATAGATAACTACACATGGTTACAGTTTCTTCATTGAGATATAGATAACTACACATGGTTACAGTTTCTTCATTGAGATAGATAACTACACATGGTTACAGTTTCTAGATAAGATACACATGGTTACAGTTTCTTCATTGAGATAGATAACTACACATGGTTACAGTTTCTTCATTGAGATAGATAACTACACATGGTTACAGTTTCTTCATTGAGATAGATAACTACACACATGGTTACAGTTTCTTCGCTGAGATAGATAAGTTTCTTCATACACATGGTTACAGTTTCTTCATTGAGATAGATAACTACACATGGTTACAGTTTCTTGAGCTGAGACTACACATAAGAGATAGATAACTACACATGGTTACAGTTTCTTCATTGAGATAGATAACTACACATGGTTACAGTTTCTTCATTGAGATAACTATAACTACACATGGTTACAGTTTCTTCATTGAGATAGATAACTACACATGGTTACAGTTTCTTCATTGAGATAGATAACTACACATGGTTACAGTTTCTTCATTGAGATAGATAACTACACATGGTTACAGTTTCTTCATTGAGATAGATAACTACACATGGTTACATTTTCTTCATTCATTGAGATAGATAACTACACATGGTTACAGTTTCTTCATTGAGATAGATAACTACACATGGTTACAGTTTCTTCATTGAGATAGATAACTACACATGGTTACAGTTTCTTCATTGAGATAGATAACTACACATGGTTACAGTTTCTTCGGTGAGATAGATAACTACACATGGTTACAGTGTCTCTATTGAGATAGATAACTACAATTGGTTACAGTTTCTTCAGTGAGATAGATAACACACATGGTTACAGTTTCTTCATTAAGATAGATAACTACACATGGTTACAGTTTCTTCATTGAGATAGATAACTACACATGGTTACAGTTTCTTCATTCAGATAGATAACTACACATGGTTACAGTTTCTTCATTGAGATAGATAACTACACATGGTTACAGTTTCTTCATTGAGATAGATAACTACACATGGTTACAGTTTCTTCATTGAGATAGATAACTACACATGGTTACAGTTTCTTCATTGAGATAGATAACTACACATGGTTACAGTTTCTTCATTGAGATAGATAACTACACATGGTTACAGTTTCTTCAGTGAGATAGATAACTACACATGGTTACAGTTTCTTCATTGAGATAGATAACTACACATGGTTACAGTTTCTTCGCTGAGATAGATAAGAGATAGATAACTACACATGGTTACAGTTTCTTCATTGAGATAGATAACTACACATGGTTACAGTTTCTTCATTGAGATAGATAACTACACATGGTTACAGTTTCTTCATTGAGATAGATAACTACACATGGTTACAGTTTCTTCATTGAGATAGATAACTACACATGGTTACAGTTTCTTCATTGAGATAGATAACTACACATGGTTACAGTTTCTTCATGAGATAGATAACTACACATGGTTACAGTTTCTTCATTGAGATAGATAACTACACATGGTTACAGTTTTCTTCATTGAGATAGATAACTACTACACATGGTTACAGTTTCTTCATTGAGATAGATAACTACACATGGTTACAGTTTCTTCATTGAGATAGATAACTACACATGGTTACAGTTTCTTCATTGAGATAGATAACTACACATGGTTACAGTTTCTTCATTGAGATAGATAACTACACATGGTTACAGTTTCTTCATTGAGATAGATAACTACACATGGTTACAGTTTCTTCATTGAGATAGATAACTACACATGGTTACAGTTTCTTCATTGAGATAGATAACTACACATGGTTACAGTTTCTTCATTGAGATAGATAACTACACATGGTTACAGTTTCTTCATTGAGATAGATAACTACACATGGTTACAGTTTCTTCATTGAGATAGATAACTACACATGGTTACAGTTTCTTCATTGAGATAGATAACTACACATGGTTACAGTTTCTTCATTGAGATAGATAACTACACATGGTTACAGTTTCTTCATTGAGATAGATAACTACACATGGTTACAGTTTCTTCATTGAGATAGATAACTACACATGGTTACAGTTTCTTCTACACATGGTTACATTGAGATAGATAACTACACATGGTTACAGTTTCTTCATTGAGATAGATAACTACACATGGTTACAGTTTCTTTCATTGAGATAGATAACTACACATGGTTACAGTTTCTTCATTGAGATAGATAACTACACATGGTTTACAGTTTCTTCATTGAGATAGATAACTACACATGGTTACAGTTTCTTCATTGAGATAGATAACTACACATGGTTACAGTTTCTTCATTGAGATAGATACACATGGTTACAGTTTCTTCATGATAGATTACACATGGTTACAGTTTCTTCATTGAGATAGATAACTACACATGGTTACAGTTTCTTCAGTGAGATAGATAACTACACATGGTTACAGTTTCTTCATTGAGATAGATAACTACACATGGTTACAGTTTCTTCATTGAGATAGATAACTACACATGGTTACAGTTTCTTCATTGAGATAGATAACTACACATGGTTACAGTTTCTTCATTGAGATAGATAACTACACATGGTTACAGTTTCTTCATTGAGATAGATAACTACACATGGTTACAGTTTCTTCATTGAGATAGATAACTACACATGGTTACAGTTTCTTCATTGAGATAGATAACTACACATGGTTACAGTTTCTTCATTGAGATAGATAACTACACATGGTTACAGTTTCTTCATTGAGATTCATTGAGATAGATAACTACACATGGTTACAGTTTCTTCATTAAGATAGATAACTACACATGGTTACAGTTTCTTCATTGAGATAGATAACTACACATGGTTACAGTTTCTTCATTGAGATAGATAACTACACATGGTTACAGTTTCTTCAGTGAGATAGATAACTACACACATGGTTACAGTTTCTTCGCTGAGATAGATAACTACACATGGATACAGTTTCTTCATAGATAACTACACATGGTTACAGTTTCTTCATTGAGATAGATAACTACACATGGTTACAGTTTCTTCATTGAGATAGATAACTACACATGGTTACAGTTTCTTCATTGAATAGATAACTACACATGGTTACAGTTTCTTCATTGAGATAGATAACTACACATGGTTACAGTTTCTTCATTGAGATAGATAACTACACATGGTTACAGTTTCTTCATTAAGATAGATAACTACACATGGTTACAGTTTCTTCATTGAGATAGATAACTACACATGGTTACAGTTTCTTCATTGAGATAGATAACTACACATAGTTACAGTTTCTTCATTGAGATAGATAACTACACATGGTTACAGTTTCTTCATTGAGATAGATAGATAACTACACATGGTTACAGTTTCTTCATTGAGATAGATAACTACACATGGTTACAGTTTCTTCATTGACTACTACATGGTTACAGTTTCTTCATTGAGATAGATAACTACACATGGTTACAGTTTCTTCATTGAGATGAGATAGATAACTACACATGACAGTTTCTTCATTGAGATAGATAACTACACATGGTTACAGTTTCTTCATTGAGATAGATAACTACACATGGTTACAGTTTCTTCATGAGATAGATAACTACACATGGTTACAGTTTCATTCATTGATATAGATAACTACTCATGGTTACAGTTTCTTCATTGAGATAGATAACTACACATGGTTACAGTTTCTTTCTTCATTGAGATAGATAACTACACATGGTTACAGTTTTCTTCTACACATTGAGATAGATAACTACACATGGTTACAGTTTCTTCATTGAGATAGATAACTACACATGGTTACAGTTTCTTCATTGAGATAGATAACTACACATGGTTACAGTTTCTTCATTGAGATAGATAACTACACATGGTTACAGTTTCTTCATTGAGGTAGATAACTACACATGGTTACAGTATGTTTAGTGAAATGGACAACTATACATTGCTAGAGTGTATCTTCAGTTAGTGAGATAAATAACTACACATGGTTAGAATATCTTCAGTGAGATAGATAAATATACACTGCTGGAGTTTATCTTTAGCTAGATAGATATTTAAAGTATAGTTGGGTTTCTTCAGTATATTATCTATAAGACATCTAGAATTGTCATAAGTTTTCATTAGTAAGATGCATACCTAGATCAGCAATTAGATTGTGTCCACTCATGTTAGATACTCAATATATCATACGCATGATATCTCAAGATTTCTCAGTATCATGAATAAGATAGATTTATATATTTATGTTTAACTTGTAGAATGGTAATTCTATCGTACCATTTTAGTCCCTCTTTTATGTAGGCACTTATTACTAAATATTTGTAGTTTGTTAGCTATTGTGTTTGTTGTTCCCCATGTTTATCTGTAGTGTTATAATTTGTGCCATCTGCTGTGCTGTCTGCACAATGAAGGTTGGCTACACTGCTCTCTTTTAGGAATATTATGTTGTGCGAACCCAGTCTCTTCCACAGTGCCACTCTCATACTACTGTCTGTAAACCATGAGAAGGATTTATAATAAAAAATCAACATTCCACCATGGAAATTGAAGTCTAGCATTTGAGGTTTTTTCTATTACACCAAAACCTTGTTAACGCAAACCTCACTTAGAAAAAACACTCAGTTAACAAAAGTTGGTTCCAGTAGGGATGTATTATTATTAGTTCCCAGTTAGCGTTAATATTTTTTACATACTAACTCTTGATGTTTGGTCCATTCGTGTTAATGAGGTTTTACTGTATTTGAGCCATCAGATGGCTGAAAATCCTAACTTAATGAAGTCTCAAATTTGCATGACATTTTTTTAATCTGGTATTGCTCATATTGACATATTTTTCACCCGACATCAGGAAAAACAAATATACTGTCTGTTTTTAACATATGATGTCTAAGTTTGTTGTGGGGATTTTTTTTCCCAACTTTTAGATTCATGAAGTCGGCAAAAGCAAAGATTACTGGTCTCATAGCTCTGCACCTTTACCAGACATATATGCAGTTGTCTCTGATCAGCTGAGGTTCAGCTTTGGAACAAACACATCTCTTTACCTGATGGCCTCAAAGGTAATATATAGCCAAGACAGTTAACAGTTTCATCCCGTAACAATCTTTTAGAAAATTATCGTTTTTAAAATTTTGTTTAAAAGTAACACATCATATTGGTTCTCTGAAATTCTGCCCCTAAAATGATGAAGAAAGAAAAGAAGCAGAAATCTGGTGCGTTTGTCATTCTATATTTTTTTTTTAATTAAGGGAATTAATTAGTAAATACAAATTGAAACAAACAGTTAACGGCTTTCATTCCCTTTGACCTTTTATACATTCATAAATACCACCCTCGTAGATTATGGGCTTTAAAAATTCCTGGCAATAATGTCCGCATTCAGAATGAACAGGTATATTGATTTCAAAGATATAACGCCACCAGATGTTGATAAACAGGAAGACTTCAGTAAGCTGCTTTTTGCAGATAATCAGTGCACATTCCACAGTGAAAGCAAACAGCTGCAGGACCACATAAACCAACTACACAACAGTTGCCTTAAACATCACATGAAGATCAATATTGAAAATCCAAAGTCATGAGAATAAGTAGAGAGCAACAAGCCATTGACATAAAGATCAAAAATCAAAGTCTGAAATAAGTGCAAGAATTTAAATACTTAGGAAGCATCTTTACATACAATGGTAAAATAGACAGAGATATAGAAACAAGAATTTAACAAGCCAACAATGTCACGTACCAACTTGCTCCAATTTTAAAACACCCAGCTATCCCAATAGAGACAAAAAGACAAATTATAAATACAATATTTATACGCCTTTAGTTTGCCAATGTCAGACTTGGACACTAACAAAAGAACATGAAGGAAAAATAAACACCTGTGAGATGAGATGAGAATGAGAATGAATGTGAGATGAGAATGGCTGTGAATAAAACCAGAAGAGATCGAGTGAGAAACGATGCAATCACAAGAACTGTTGGAACAACACCCATCATCAAATTTATTGAGAGACAAAGAATGAAATAGTTTGGCCGTCTAATGAGAATGAAACCAACGATGCCAGCAGCAAGAGCGTACAACCTGAAAATGGAAACACCAAGAGGCTGGGGAAGACCGAGAAGAAGATGGATTGAAGGAGTCACTGACACATTGAGACCGCATAACATCACGGTATATCATGCGACTGAGTTGCAAAATGGAAGTGGATGAAAAATGAAATTCTGCAGATGATGGATAATAGAACAAAGACAAATAATAATATAGAAGAGTGTTCTAGTATCCATAAAGCAATAGTGAAGTGAACAAATGCAAAGAGGCTAAAAAGAAACCTAGCTGAATCAGATGTGCACAGAAATTGGGAAAAATCATGGACGAGACTCACATTCCATGCACCAACAGATAAGTATATTAACAAGGAAGAAGAGATGTAACATCACTGTGTGCTTCAAATCGAAAAAAGGTGAAATATGAATAGAGCAAAGTGACATAATTAAAAGGTGGACAGAGTACTTAAGAAATCTGCATGATGAAAACTGACCAGAAGTATGTACATTTGCAGGACAACAATGAAGGCCCACCAGTACTGGCTTCAGAAGTTGAGGATCATTGCATCACATGAAGAAAGGAAAGACAACTGGGCCAGACAACATCACACTGGAAGAAACTGAAGCTTTGGGATATTTTGTAACTGAAATAATAAAAAAAACTGTTAAATGGCATTTATAATAATGGGTTAATTTCTAATAACTCATTGAAACCTATAATAATTGTTCTGCCAGAGAAACCCGTCATTTTAAAATGTGAAGCTGAACTATCGCATCATGAGTCTTATGAGTCATGTGACACAAATGTTACTGAGAAAAATTATGAGAAGAGTAAGAAACAAGATTAAACCAGAAATTTGTGAAGAACAGTGTGGATTTGTAGAAGGAAAAGGTAAAAACAATGCTATATACATCCTCAGGACTCTTTCAGAAACATAGAAGTAAAAAACAATCTTTACTTATGTTTCATTGACTATACGAAAGTATCTGGCTGTGTGAAACATGAAGAAATAATCAAACTATTGGAAAAGTTTAACATTGATGTAAAAAAATGTATGAATTATATTTTAAAAAACATGCATTGGCAGCAAACAACAGCTATAAGAATTAATAAACAGTTGGGAACATTTCGGAGCATAAAGAGGGGAGTAAGATTTTTTTCATTATCTGTGGTAATTTCATAAAGAATACATTCTTGAAGTGACACTGTCAGTGAGATCGCGAATGATGAGGAAAATCTTGAAAATTATCAATCTTGAAATAGATCGATAGTAGGAGGAGGGTGTGTCCATCAAACGGCAACATCTGGTGTTCACTTTGTGAAACAAAGTTGATCCTGATGAGTGAATTTGCACACAAAGGTGAAATATTGGCGCTAGATAAAAGGTAAGCCTATTTTCTACAATGTCTCCAAGTTTCATCATATTCTAGCCACTCGTTTGCATGTAACTAATATTTTTGTATATCATGTTGGTTTTTTTCGCCGTAATACCCAGGAGCTCATGTTATAGGGCCTTAGGTCTGGTAGGGTTAAAGCAACAGATTTAATTGATGGTCTGTAAAAATATGGGTGCTCTTTCCATATGCCCAATGCGCCTAAAGGCGTGGAAAGAGGTCATTACTTTACTTACTTACACTAAATTTAAAACAAGTGAACCATGTATAAGCAATCAGTATTGTAATTCAACTAAATGAGCATAGCTTATGTCAGCTTATTTATCTCATTCATGGACTATAATGAGTGAATATACTCTCCCACCAACTGTTAGTTCTGTTATGGAATTTGCGATGACTTTCTTTTATCTTCTACTGGCTCGCATCATCGCACGCTCGCTGCCATCTCACAAAACCGACATCACACGACGAGCAGAAAATGGACGACTGGAAAAACAACTCAATACTGTTCCAGCACTTTAATCTTCCACTCGCGGCTTACACAGCCAGCACATGAAATAGACAACTGTCCAGGCACACATTATAACGCAAGTATCAAATATTACCTTCAAGCAGAAATCACAATCGTCCTACACTAACATCGTGAACAAAACACAACAGCTGTCCTGACAGACAAACTCAGACGACCTGCAGACATATTGCTGGCCAGCTTTTTTCGCCAAGTCGGACTGGAACAAATTCACTCAAAAACATCTGCTGAATCCACACATCATCCACCGCTGTCCATGCACTCTGTTCCTGGGTCCAAGCGAGACTGACTCCCAGCCCTTTGCACGATATTATATAGCCTTCTACTCCCTGCTTTGTTTTCCCTGAATATTCCGTGCTTCTTCAGTTTCACGGCAGTCGTGTTTCATCATACTTCATGAAGTTTGCCATTCAACCTTTCTCTTCACGTGAATAATTATACTCCACATAAAGCTTGACCATCAGCATTTCTTTATAATTCCCGTGAAGTTCAGACTTAACAATTCCCATGACGTCCCAGTTAGAGTCAAAATATTCCACTCACATTTATTACTGACGTCATCTGTCGGGCATACATTAACTGGGAGAAAATGAGATTCACTACACTCTCCCCCACCCCAAAAAAATGTTTTACATTTTCAGTCAATCAGGTGTGATCATTTATCTGAATATGATAATGTAAGACCTCTGTAGTGAATCATTTTCGACAAGTTCATTTCCAACCAAGTTCCCTTTACCCTATTGGGTTAACAATTCAACAATGTAAAATGCCATCTGTTATGTCTTTCCACGATTGTGAATACCTTAATGGGATCCTCACTCCAGGCACTCCCCTTTTAGTGCGGAAGACCAATAATCTGGCTCCATAGGTATCCCCACCCAGTTCTAAAGTCGGTATACAACC